TGCATGAAGACTTAATTTCAGGGCTTAATTTTAGCCAGGCGTTACTTTAGATATAGTTGCTACTTTAGATAAACCTCTACTTTAGATGCAACAATTACATGGTGACACATGAAAAAAATAACAAGACAAAATAAATTTATGATCATGAGTATTCCGGATAATTCTATATTTAGATTGTAGAATTACTAAAATTATCAATTCCACAACATATCTGCCGAATATTTTTTTTCTTTCATTTTTCATTTTTTTTTTACCCTTTTTAACAAACTCACACAGGGCGATCACCAGAATTCCGGGTCGGGATGCATCGGAATCCTGGTTGGATGTGCTGGAATTGATTAATTTTGCCAAGATCCCTAAAAATTTACCAATGACGTGAAGTTATAGCCATTCATTAAGTAAAAACGCCTAGATGATAAATTTGCTATAGACTATTTGACTAACATTGCTATTATACACACATCGATCGGTACGGGTCACTTTTGTCTTACTATGCTTGGTAACGATTTTGTTCACAGTTTTATTGGTCACGTTTACTTTTTGCCCGCTTTATTCAATAATTGATAAAATGCAAGATTTTGCAGGCGTAAATCACTTTACTTGCCGTATAATAATACACTTCGTGAAATTTCAATATCACTCCGTTCCTAATCGAAAATGACTATTCAAAATATTATTAATTCCATTAAACCACGGACTATTTAGTCTTCTTCATCTTAATCATCATTATTTATATCTTTAACTTTTATTATAAATACTTAAATCGTTCCAATCCACTTCCTAGTCCTTTACCTTTACCATTCATTGGAAATCTTCATAATCTCGGCTTTGGTGTAGAACGATTCTATGAACAATGTCAAAAAAAATATGGAGATATCAGTGAAACGATGTTTGATCGTAGATATATCATTCTCTCACGTCCAGAATATATTGAAAAACTTTTTGATCGTAAGTTATTTTTCATGAGACTTCCACATTCTCAAGGTACAGTTGAAATGGGAATGTATGGACATGGAATTGTCTTCAATGAAAATTACGAAAGTTG